ATCTCTTTTAGGAAGAAATAAATCACATTTTAAGCACCATTGAATAGACTGAATAACCACACACTGAATACAAAGGRTCTTTATGATTGTTTCCTATGAAACAGATGTTTACCACTTTTGTCTGCTGCACCTAGCTCAGGTATCTGGCACACTGAGGCAGCAGGATCATGCTTAACATCCAACTTGAGTCAAGCACCAGAAGAGCATATGGAACACTGACGGTGTCTCTATAGCCATATAAAATTACTAGAAATACCATTTGATCAACATTTATATAGATATTTAAATGCAATATACATGATRCCAGAGCAGTGGAATTATTTTTCATTTTGGGGAAAAATTACAAATAAATTGTGCACATGTATTTTTATAGTATGAAGCTCTGAATGCCTCTGCTTTGTCAATTTATGTTTGATGTACATAAAAGGCATACAGAACACTCACTCAAAAGATGCTGGTAAAGCACTCAAACTTTAATCTTAACAAAATCTCTCAAATAGAAGGGAAGATCTCTCTACATGAAGCCAAAATTACTTTTGTTGAAAGGTCATGCTAGCTACAGCATTTTGTACCAAAACCCCCCAAGCCACAACTATGTTTCCACAGTAAGACTAGGAATTAACTGAGTGTGTCTATGTGTATACAGCTAAATGAACAAGATGGCACAGATGATTTTATTGGAAATACATCGATAATGCCTTATTACTCGAATCTTACAGTATTCACTTGGCCCAGAAATGCCGCAAATTTTTAGAGCAGCCACTACGAACTTTGCTTCTAAATTGCTAGCAGTAACACATAAAAAGGAATTGCTTTTGTTTATTAGCAATTTGAATGGAATTGTGAAACTAGCAGCATCCTACCTTCTAAATTCCTTATGCCAATATTATGCCCACTACCTTTGATTTAATTTCTTTTCCACAGTTACTGTACTGAGCTTCTTTAGTTTATCTGCAAAAACCAATGTGAATGAGTGGACGGCAGTTTAAGGAAATTATCCCACACCAGGCAAGGAGCCCTTGTTCAATGTCGTTTTTAAAGTGCAAAATGAGATCAAAGTGAGAACGAATTCCCCTGGCAGCATAAGGAAAGCTCCAGGGATATTATAAACATTCCTTGGTCACAGGAGTTGTTTCTATGGTGGATACAGCAACGTCAACTTGGTGGATTACCCCTGCAACTGTTTCATTATACAAATCCAGTTTCACACAGATGTTCACCTGTATTCATTAATGTTTAGAGTCTATTAGTTTTGATTAAACAAATCTGTTTTTAAAAACTACCTAGAAATCTACTGAAAACTTATATCAAAAGGGCATTGTAATCTCTCTTCACATTGCMCTAAAACATTTTTGCTAAGATGCAGCATCCCTGCATTTTCCAGTCACTGAGACTAACAATTCTCCTCATCCCAGGAAAAATCAATACAAAATTAAGTTAAAAAAATGGAAAATTATTATATGAACATAGGAAGAAAGATCAGCATGTAATATGTATTTATGTATATATATATTTATGTATATATATGTACTATTTAATAGGGGGGTTTAAGTTATACAATGCAGCATTCAATTTTACAATTTGAAGATATAAATTCAAAAATTCAGTGCAGAGGATGTAAAATTTGGGAAATAKAAAGAAAGAACTGAAGGCACCAACTAATTAATGTGAAGAAAATTGTTACTACTGTTCTTTTTTAATGAATSCAAAGGGTACTTCAACTTGACAGCTCTTCTTTTGTTTCAAAGCAAGGTCTGCCAGTAGCAGAAACAAAACTTGGTTTGTGGGCTCAAAGTTACCAGCTGATTGAAGCTCGTTGTGTAACTCTGAGAATACAAAATTTCTTCTGCCCTGAATAAATTTGCATAATTGACAGAATTTAAATTGGCTCAATTACTCAAACAGAAATGTACTCTTCTGATGCATTTCATCACTTAGCTTCATACTGACAGTGATGGAATAAAAATATATGTGTCCAAAATTAACTGTGTACTAACATTTCCTTCAGACTGAWTTTTAATCCCTTCTCCCTCTTTCTGGAACTTTATTTCAATTAGCAAAGGAAATGTTCTTCTCATAATAAATCAATATCAGTGGCCTACTGTAGAAGTTACTTCAGTTTAACTCAAACTCAGCATCATTTTCCTTGGAATATAACATCAATTACGAATAATTTGCTTACCAATATCTTATTAAGGTCACATGATATGATACACTGTACTGTAGAAAAGAGTGATGCTAGCAGTCAAGTGAAAATACAGATTATATTTTAAACTAGAGTACAAAGTGATAAGAAACATGTTCACTTATTCTGTTAAGGCCACTATAGAATAAGGAGAAATTTTATTTCTCTGGGACTGGGGAGAAGACACAGTCTAACATTCTTCTTTTAACTTGGCAACTATTAGTATCTACTTTTTTTCAGCAGCAATCCATCAAAGCAAGAAAAAAAGCAGCACAGTTCAACAAGGGCAGTAAGAAAAACCCTACACTTCAATATTTTAAATTCAACTTGAAAATACATGAAAATGTTTAGATTGCCATATTAAAAGAATCACTGTAATACCTCATATTTTAGTGATCTGTATCATTAATTGTGCACATCATTAGCTTGACTTGCAAATCATGTTTTGGGTCATTTTCATGCTTTTTGTATTTTACATTTACCTTTTACAGTAATGCATGCAGTAAAACACAAAGCCATTGTATTTTCAGCATATTGGTTTATTTTTGTCATGATTTTGCTACACATGGCAGGATCAATGCATAGTTGAAAACATCAGTGAATTTGAAATGCACATGAAATTCTGGTAAGGAGTTTTTGGGCAGTTCGTCTGTAGCAGGCAGGTGTTGGGTGATGTGGGGTATCATCTGCTGGGAAAACAACTTGAACAATGCAAAGCTATCAGTGGTGAATGGAGAAGGGGGTTGTATTGGTGCTTTTGGTGCTGAGTGATGTTGAAAYCAGCCTGACTCATCAATCCCCAAGTTAAATATACCTGATAGAGAGGTGAAGCTGTGGCAGAACTGGTAAGGTACCAGATAGAGCAACAAACAAGTGGTACAACTGCTAATTTACCTAAAGATGCTGAGCTGACACTGCTGGCCCAGAAGCACATGGCCCACTCCCACTTTTCAACGAGTTGGGAGAGCCTTCCAACAATACCCTTTCTGGAGCATGTATGGAGATTCCTTCCTTGAGTTACTCCTCAGTGCTGAGAGAAAAACATCAGCCCATCATCACTGGTGTGGGTGAGTAGCATCAATCTCTACTTCATAATTTCTTTTCCTACCTTTGATATAATTGCTTCAATATTGCTTCAAGAATAGTGGACTGAACTAAGCTAGTAGTTATAGCTACCTGTACTACGTAGCAAATAATTCTGATTAAGATCTTTTAGTCAAATCATTATAATAATAAATAATTAATTTTTTATATAAGTATCTCTGGTTTGTCATCCTTAATCCTGTGCGACAAAACTGCGAAAAGGTTGGATAACACCTATTTAATAAATTAACATAAAGCTCTGACAGAATCTGGGGCTAAGGCTGGATCCAGTTGCACCCAGAGGCCTCTCTGAAGAGTTTAAAAAGCAAGAGGGTCCTGTCTGTGCCTTGTGACTCATTGGGAGGGCTTCTCCGATAAACTCTGTAGCTCCCACTCTGCCCATGACACACAGGCTGGAACAAACACCTAACTTCTCCTTGGTACCCCACTCTGGGTACCCACAAATTACACCATTACATGCAACATGTCGGTTTACCTTCAAAAGTTGCCAGCAGTCCCAGCTAAAGCTGCCTAAATGTCAGGCTGAGGTGTGAGACTGCCATGTCTCTCTGATTGTATGTGTCAGAGAGGGGTTCACCTATTGCTGTGGTAGAACTGGTCTAAGAACGTGGCCAGAAAAAGTGGTACTTTGAAATACAGCTCAGAATTATTGTAAAAGCTCACACAGAAATATCTAGAAATACAGAGAATGAATATGTAGTTTCAAACTACTGAAGACGTACCCATTAACTGATCCTTAAACATAGCTAGAACAGTACAGTACCGATCTTAAGGACTGTGGGTGGACATATAGTTACCAGAAATGCTACAGCTACAAYCTAAAAGTGAGAAAGTGTAATTCTACACTTTGTTCCTATATACATTTCCCTTTGCAAGAAATCTGGATAAAGCACAAAATTATACMAATATTTTACTATGAAACAAGAATACAGAAAATTTTCTACATGGACTTCAGTGTTCACCCCTTGCACAAAATGTGCATTCACTATTGGCATTTCATAGCCTGTAGCTGAAAATACAGGACAGAAGTAAATAAATGAGGAATGGTCCCCTAGCCAACCACCGTGCCTTTGGATAAAAGATAGTTTTGATTTGAGGGCTCTAAAAGTAAGACATTTCTTATGCTGTTTCTGGAAAACCTTAAGGGACAGAAATCCACAGCATGAAGATAACCCTCAGGAATGTTCTGCTCTTCCAATCTTCTTTACAAGAAGGAAACTTTTTATTCGTTTTATAATAAAGGCTAGACAGGCCCAGCGTACTATCAGACAAGTTTGCACGGCATTACATTTCTAACATGAAGAACAGACAGGGTAGAGACTATTTTTTTGGTGGAACAACACATTTTAAAGAGGTGAAACACTTTCCATAGCATAGAGTGCTGAAAAGACTCTTAAGTATTCTGAAGCCACAGAAAGTTTCTGGTACTCATTAAGACAGGCATCCCAGTTAATTTAACTTTATCCTAATATACATTTAATAATGTAAATGTATTACGAACACATCACATAAACCCTTGCACCCCTTGGTACCTTAAGTTAAGCACATGCTACTTTACACATGCAGTTCCATAAAAATCATCCCCTTTGACAGCTATTTATCACAAGCTGGAGTAGTTAAGGCCCCATCTCTTTAATGGGCAATGAATAAAAAATGAAAAAAATATTAATAGACATTCTCAGCTTGTACACCATAAACTATTATGGTTAGTCAAGACCAGACAATTTTTAATTTGGGACTCTTTCTGAGAGATGTCTGTAAATGAAAATGGAGTAGTCCATAGTGCAAATTACTACCTCATAAACCTGCAGCATAATAACACTTTTCCTTAAGGAACTTATTTATGAGGAAGTTTCTATTTCTGTATAACAATAATAATAATAATGCATTTTACTTTACAATTATGAGGATGATATTGCACTTAATGGAAAATGCTTTATTGAGTAGTRAAGTCTTTAAGCAAACTTATATCATGAGCAAATTTTATTTTCTTGTGTCTCCCTGAATCTTCATACAATCCTTATTTACTAAAACTTCTAGGTTTAAATTAAATAGTGTTCATAATTAGTGTATTTCTTAAACAATTTGGCCAACACACTAAAATACGATAACCAAATTGTCTTCTCCTTTCTAATTTTGAAGCTAGTAATTTTATGCAAATGTAATACCAAGCAACTATAGGGGAATTCAGAATTTAGTAAAACACTCTGCAATAGCAGGTTCAAAGAGGTGCGGATAGACAGTGTGAAACATAGGCAGTATTTCTTTTAAAATAGTTGAATACAAGAGTCCAGCAGAACTCCTAAGAAATAAATAAATAAACTCAAAAGGCTAACTGAGGGTTTTTTTCAGAAGTGCCATACACTATTAAATCCTCAGTAACCCTATATAGAACTTCCCATTTTTAAAGTGCTATACAAATACTATCTAGATGAAATGTATTCTCTAAAGGTAGAATACAAATTCAAAGTGAATGGTGATAGATGAATGGCAGTAAACTGTAATTTAATTACTACAGAGACTAAATATTTCATAAATCAGCTGGCTATGCATGAACTATCATGGAAGACCACATACCATTCAAGGGGAATGTACAGATATAAAATTATTATCATTCATTAAGTAGGTTCTATGACCACAAATAATTGTCACAAGAGCTGTAATTGGCTCCACAACCTTCAAGTGCCTAACTCAGAAGGTGTAAAAGGAAACCCTTCTGTGATGGACAGGCAGATTATTTCAAGCGCTAGCACAAAGAGCCTTTAAAAACCATCATGCCTATACATCAATGCGGATTCCATGTTTTATAGACATTAATTCTCTAGTGCCTGTTAAATACATAATAAATGAGCACAGGTGAGGTAAAGATGCTGTAATTGCCACATACAGCCAATATGGCAAAGGAGGAGTTTTTCCAAATGGGCAGATCCACAGGCCATGACGAATCCCGTCACGGACGTGATGAGAAGTCCAGGATATGAACAACATCCAGGGCAGAAAGCACCATGAGTCCTTCAGCCTGAAAAGCTGCATAAAAAACTTCAAAGAAAGAGCCACCACGGGAATCACAGTAGAACAATGAAGAAGTGGTCTCCGTGGAAGAGTCAGAGCAGCCTGCAGAAGAGAAAAACATTATGGGCAATGGCTACAATTGTTACAAAGAAGAAAAGTTTCATGGGTGTCTACAGGTGTATTGTCGRGTGACTCAGTCGAAGCAGAAAGGAAAAACATACTGTTCCTTTCCATTGCAACTAATCAAAACCAACAACAGGATTATTTCATGCATGAGAGTTGTGTGCTGCCCTGTCTCTATTGTGTGATATGAATCATGCATCCTACTAAGAACTATCAACAGCAAAACAGGGAGGGAGAGGGATGAGGTATCCTATTTGTCATTTGTCATGTGGTATACAGGAATCTGTACAATCTGCTGCACTGATTATATGTACTGAAGGTCAAGACAATTAAAACACAAACAACCATGCAATACACTTTAAATATTTAATATATTTTCTTTGAAATAATTAATGAGCCTTAATGGCATTTATTTTCAAAAATACATCCTGTATTTTACTACAATTGCCACCTATAAAGTTGTTTCAGTTGCACAGTGTTTAAAACAGAAGAATAATTTTCAATACAACAAAAATATGAATGAAGTTACATGTATTTTGATCACTTGAGACTGTATTCTACATGGACAGGCAAAACAAAGTTCATAAGCCAACATCTGAAACATTTGAGACTGAGTTCTTTTGTATCAACTACTTGTTTAACTCAGTTGAAAGCCTGATATTTGGTTTAATAAGATGAATGTCTAACTAGTGAGATTAGATTTAGCCATTTTAAGAAGTGACAATGTCAATTTAATATTCTTATTTGAGAAGCTATTCTGTGGCTGTACTCAGTAGCAACATCACCACAAATTCAAACACAGTAAAAGAATCATAATGGTATTCTGGATTTCTAATCGACAAATAAGTAGATCCTTGTTTTGGTAAACGCAGGAGAAACAACAGCACATTACTAAAAGATCTACGAAAGTGCCATCTATTGTAATGTTAATTGGCTCAATTCACATAGTGGTGAACATTTGGAAAGACTGTAACAGGCACCAGAGATATAATGTGACAGTGGTGTATCTGTTTGCCCTGTTGAACACATCCCTGTGTTGAACACCTACTGCMGAAAGCAAACAAAGCATCTCTAACCTGTTCATTCTTCAGCTGAGTTAATCCTTGCAGGATTCAACAGCAAGAGGGCCTGGCAGTGGGACTCTGAGGTGGGCTTATCAAGTTAACGCATAATTTAGATAACTGCATGGAACCCTATCTTCTCTGCAAGGAAACTTTGATGTAGCCTTAGCCAGCTAATACAGAAATGGGAAGTTATGAACTACCTAGAAATGTAACAGCTCACGCTTTAAATCAAAGCCAACACTGAAAGGACTGCAGAAAGCTTTGCTCTGTTAGCTTCCCACCACATGCTTATCCATGACTCTCCTGATCAGGTAATGGGATTTAAAAGCTCAGAAACCATCTCAGCAATTTTTAACTCTAATGTTGTGGATCCAGTTCCTTTAAGTTGGTRCAAAGGCGGTATTCTAAACTTCAGTTCTGTTTCACAAGAAGATTGTTCACAGATTAAAGCAGAAAATCTTGTGATGATGAAATTGTTTATCACCTGCCCTACAAAGAGTCAGATTTTTGCTGCTGTCAGCAAGCRCCTCAAAAGTACATACTAACCTAATTCTGAAAAAACATGGACAGTGATATGTTTCAGCAGATATTCTATTGACTGGTCTCTATTTCTGCATTTCAAGAAAAAGGAGGACCGAAGTCTAAATTAGTCTTTTCCCTCTGGCCTATTAAGGGTAGGTGCCAACACCAACACAGTGAGCAAGGAAAATTTTAATGTTACCTATGTACACAGTTTATCAGTATTGGTGCCAATCTTTATCCAGTTATGGAAAGGTGATTCTTGCATTCTTTTCATACAGATTTTAGACGGCAGGGCTGTTTGTATAGCAACCTTGCGTGCTCAATTTCAGCAAGAGAAAGCCCAATTTTGTAACTGCAGTATGGCCATCAARCTTCTGATATGGTGTTGCCCAAGGTCTGACAGAAGAACAGTCTGTTTCCTTTTTCACATTCTGTGACTAAAGCAATACTTACATCCTTGAGTTGCCAAGCCCTAGAGACAAGCAGGTAGTTCTGTTTGGTAATATAAGCTGTTATTCTCTCTGTCTCCTAATAGGCAAATTTGTTTGCCTTTAGAAATCACTAGATCTTAAAAAAAAAAATAAAAGTTAGTACAAGCCTTTTCTGTTTTACACCTCCTGGAAAAAGTTGCAAACAGAATTTATTTGCAAATGACCTTTTCTATCTGCCTACATGTTCAATTAGGTGCAAGATCATCTGGAATCTGCTGCTCCTCCAGCCTCTCTCACTACAATGAGCAGCTGGATACAGGAGACAATAATTGAATGCAGGAGAACCCACRCAAATTATCTGCTTTAATGCTCATGGTGACACCATGGATGTAATGTAACAACAGATGCTCCCTCACTCATATTCTGTGGTGCCTCGTGAGCCTGCAGTCTTTAGTTTAGAGTAACATATTCCAAGTAACATAATATAGTAACATATTCAATGCTATAYTAACTGTGCTTGCCCAAAGTTTATTCTCCAATTCCAGAAATGCTCCGATGCAGCCCAGGTCGGCAATGGGTGGCACATTAACCAGCAGTGTTATGTATGTTTGCCACCMACTGCATTTTCTACACTTTCAGAATTTGGCGAGTCTTTAGTAACAAGGCAGCAATTTTTGAACGACTGTGTTGCAACATGAGTGCCKGAGCTGCAGTCCTGGTGGACTCTGGGAGCAGCCCATCATGCCGTGCCAGCACTCCTGACCGAGGACAGGACTGACACAGGAACTACCACCTTTAGAGACAGACAGTGAGGCACGTTCTTCTACACTTTCATGCACACTAAAAACCACATGGAACACAAAGAACTACAAATTCCAAGTAGTGAAGTCATTGTAGCCTTCATACTTGTTGCAAAAATAATGCGGGCAAAAGGTCAGATCACATGGTACTTGGTACACAAGTATTTATCAGAGCAAACACATAAATACCACAGGTGACTATTTACCCTGAATACTGCAGAAAAATAATGATGACCATGAAAAACAGACCAATGGCCAGACAACCCAAGCACCGAGCTGTGTCAGCAGGAACAGAAGTAGGTGACTGGAGTAGTGTGAAGGTAGCAATTGGACGTAGAAGGCAGCACTGCCTTGTGCTGCACAGAAAGGTTACTCCAGAAAAGGTAACACGTCATCAGATTTAAAGGTGATGATGAAGAGCTTTACAGGTAATTGAGCAGAGTAATGTGAAAAATACTATTGGTACAAATTAGTAATAGTGGTGTGGTTAGTTAATTAGATTTCTTAATTTATTAGTTATTTAGTAATGTGTTGCAAAAGCAGCAAACATGGAAGTCTCTTAATGCAGTTTCTCCCAATCATACAATTTAAAGATGAAGAATGGGACTGTAACTACCAAATACGTAGTAAAAAGGTATCTAACAAACATGTAGTAAAAAAGTATCCCATGAAGTAAGAAATTACATAGGTGACAGCCTGAAATTATGCCATGAAACTGAGAGGCACATCATATTAAGCCGAAGAAAGAAAATCACATATTACAATCAGATCTAGTTGGCCACATAACACACAGAAGAAAAGTTTATGGGGATTATGTTACACCACAAACCAAAGGAACTCTTTGGCACTGCAAGAAGACATAAAACCTGTAACAGATTATTTTTTCCTTTTATATGGACATAAGCACTGTATTTTTGTGCCATTGTTAGGAATTAATCTATGGTACTTGGCTCAAATGAAGTCTCAGCTAAAATACTACTCATGGGTTKGGACAGGACCCTTTAAAAGTAATTTTGGCAAAAAGAAATGGAGAGAAATAGTAAGAGGTTTAGAAAACATAAATTTATTCCCTTAAGATTTTTTTAGAAGTTATTTAATTGAGAAGAGTTTTTGTAAAGAATGCTGGCTTTGCAAGTTGTAATGATGTTTTTGCTCTAAGAGTAAAGAGATGTACACTGGATTATGTCTTTTATTAGTCCAGTTAACAGAAGGCAAGGCAAGGCGAGGCAAGGCAAGGCGTTGGTAGGCAAAYCAATTTGAAAAAGCTTTTGGGCATCTTGTCTTCTCCTCACCTCAGCTAAATAAACTTGGCTACTAAAAGAGCTATGATTCTACCTGCTGTATTTTGTGTTTCTGACTTGAAAAACATTTTTGGGCAGAGCACAGACATAAGCTGTCTTTTGCAAAAAAATCTTAAAGAAGAAGAGAACTAGATCTAATTATCAACAACAATACTTCAGGCTGGATTAGAAAACAAACTGCTACATGCTTGGGAACTGAAACAACACAGGAAGAAATCAAGTCACAAAATTACAAAAATTTACTTGGTTTCACATACTAGGGATAGGCTAAGCTATGTAAATGTTCTCCATCATGGAAGATGTAAGTATATTTAATCTTGCCTCACTGCCAAGAGGCAGGTCACCTCCCAACTCCATGACACAATTCAATACTCAACTTTCCACACAGACCTCGGTGAACTGTGACATCTAGTGGTCATAATTAAGAAAAATACTGGTAATCATCTCAAATGCATGAAAARGCAGCAATAAAACCTTAATACATTCTAATAGCTAGCCATTAATTTACTTGCATTTACTGACTTTAAAATAAGAAAAAAAAAACCAGATAAGAATAATTAGAGATTTAAATTCTATTCCATATTATTATTCTGTAAKAATAATATAGGATGCATTAAAAGCCAAGCTATCTTCTTTTTCTTTACATATGTAGTTTTTTTAATCATGCAAGAACTAGAGAAAAGAAGACAACCAGCACTTAGGGAAGAACGATGCCAGACAYCAGGACATGCTGGAGCCTGACTGCTCATGTGGCAAAGGGGGTCAGTGGTATTTTGGGCTGCATCAGGACTGTGGCCAGCAGGTCAAAGGGACCCAGTTCTTCCCGTTCTCCTCAGCACTGGTGAAGCCAAGAAGGAAAAACTGAGCAAATGCAAAAAGGCATCTTTTCTACACAAAAAAAAAMCAGTGACACTGCAAGTAAACAAAAACTATTTTTCCATTCCTTCCTTCTTGCCTTCCCTCCTGCCTTCCTTCATGCCTTCCTTCCTCCCTGCCTGCATGCCTTGGAGCTATTTCCCTTGCCATCCATATGAACAGTGTAATAGTATTGTGAGCAAACTAGAAGAGGAAAACGACTGAAAAAGACTGCCATCATCTGGTAGTACTAATCTTATTGACAAACTCTGTCCTAACAAGCARTTCTGCAAATGGACGGTGATCTATTCACTCCTTAACAGGAACCAATTCAACTTTTTACTTYTATTAACAAGCTGATGCTTGCTTTACTACTATTTCTTGGTTTGTTTTTTTTTTTTTTCAATGAACTACATTTAAATGCAACTCAGACTGCTTTTGAAAGGTGACAGCTCACATACAGCTTGTTTGTGGGAGAAATACTTAGGGCTGGCTAAAACCTATGTATTACTAGAAAGACTGAATGAAATGAAATAACAAGTTCTATCATCTATATTTCAGATATTTCCAACCCATATTTCAGGTATTTTTTACTGTAAAAAGAAATGGAATCATCCACTTCATCCATGAAAGTGTGCAAGGCAGCACTTGACTGCATAAATTGGATAACAAAGCAACCATATGATACACATAAAATATCATGTACGTGCACAAAATTATTTTTTTCCTTCTAAGTGGCAGAAACTTAACAGTAGATGTAAAATACTTCTATGGCTTTTAAAATCATAACAACTACATATAAACATAATTCCTGCATATTTATTAAGCGTATTTAATTAAATTATCAATGGAACTTTTTTTGTTTAGGTCATGGTAGAACAGTAAAGCAAACAGATTAGTAATTTTTTAATTTATCACTATTGACTTACCTTTAATGACAAGGATCCAGCAAGAAAGAAGTGGTCCACATCAATGACAGAGGCAAGGAAGCCGGCCAGAGTGACCTCAGTGAAATCACTTTTCTTCCTGAGTCCAATCACTATTGCCCAGGACCACATTCCCAGTATACCATGCACGGCATTGTCAGATAAAGCTCGGAGCCAGTCATTTTGCTGAATGAAGGAAAACTGCAGAAATCTGTCTGCTATGAAGCAGAATATCCCCAAACCTAGACTGGAAATGACTGAGGCTGTGCTGAAAGTCTGAAGAAGAGCATGGGCCTTTTCAGTCTCAGATGCCATGACAAAAACCATGTCACAGCACACAAAATGTCATCGGGATACACTCTGTGCATTGTCCTTTGTATCGTCAGTTGTTCTGTAAATGTCAGAGATCAGAAAGAAAATCATTAAACAAAGAAAATCCATTTGCACAAAGCATTTGTTATCACAGCTGCAACTGGGCATTAAGAACCCAAATTCAGTGTTTGTATTTAACATTCCCAGGGAATTTTTTATTTCAATGAAGTTAATTTATTGACTTGAACACTACAGCTCTGAAGTAAAACTCCTATACTGTTTTGATTAGAGCCAGCACAAGTAATATGGAGACCTCTAATTCCATTTACTGAAATGTTAAGTATTACAAAACCACTTGAAACACATCTATGATAATTCATTGAATATGTATGTTTTGAGATTCCTTCTGGTCTTAAATACATTATTTAATCCAATTTGTTGGATTTATTTGGATTGGATTTAATCCAATACACTGTAACAACAAAAGAAGATTCAGTTTGGAGGATTCTTAGGACAGATGCTCAAAATCCCAGATTGCTCTATACAACAACTGTTAAAACTGAATTTTTAGTCTATAATCCAAGCCACTATTTTAGTTTTCATTCATTGCTAACATATGTATTATTTCCCTGGTACCCTTTCCTGAGGAATCCTTAGTTTAGTTTGGAGACTGGAAAGTAGAATAAGCCATAAGAAAACCAAACCCACAAAAAATCTTCACTATTTATAGCAAATACAAATACAACAATGATTTAGTCAACCAAAATAAGCAAAACTACCTCCTTACAAAACTACCTTTTTCTCAGCAGAAAACTCTGCTGTTACTTTCAGAACTTCTCTATTGTCTACTACATTATCTTCATAACTTCTCTTTTTCCAAGAAAAATTCTAAGTGTCCCAACTATTATGTGAGTCTTTTGGGGGAGCTGAATGGACAACAGTTTCAAGATTATATCATGTTTAAAAATGGATTCTTCCCATGAGTTCATAGTTTTTTGCAATATATTAAATCTTGACAACCCTTCTTTATTGGGTAAATTTTTRTTCTGAAGGGACTTTTTGAGTGCATTAGACTTCCTTTGAAAATGAGTAACAAAGTTGACACACAACAGTTTATGATTTTAAACATACTATTGACTATAAAACTCACAAGATACAAATATTTCTTCCAGGTTATTTACATGCCTGCTTATTGTAGATTTATTCACGAGACAGAACTACTACCATCTATGTAGAAAAAAAAAAGTCCACTGAATCATTTATCAGGAAAACATTAAAAAAAAGAGAAGAAAGCATGAATAATACATGGGCTTTGCACAGAGATGAAAAATGTGGGTCAAGTTTAGAGTCTGTTAACCATGACTGTGCCTCTTCTGAATGAATGTATAAGCACAAAGCAGTTCCTGAAACAATGGAAGTGCCATTTTCTGATCAAAGTGCCATTTTCTGGYGGGTGACCTTACAGTACACACTGCTGAATAAATTCCATTTTAAGGAAAAAATGTCAATCCCCTCACAAATGTTTCTTCTATACAGCAATCAATGTCAAGCAGGATTTAATTAAAAATTCCTGTAAAAGCTGTGTAAGAATCCAATCTGTGAAGAACTGATATAGCAACATACCTTTGAAAAGCACACCAGTAGTCAGAATCAAACTTTCCCTGSGACTAGGATATTTTTGCCCATTGCAGGTGCCTTACTCCAGAAGGAAATGTTGTCTATGCCTCAGTGTTGAGCCTCTGTGCTTTCTGAATCCGCTCTGCCCAGTCCAGTGCAGGAAATACCAAACACCATTTGGTCCATCCTAAATAAAAACAAACCAGGCACCAGTAAGCACTGATATTATGTAAAACACCATACATGAAATATGAACAACAGTAAAATACTCCAGAAAGAATAAACATATATTTAATTAATTTGTAAAAAAATATGAAGGAGCTAAAAGCAACTTCAGCTAGAGCTTTGAAGCTCTGTAAAAGAAAGCAGTAAGAAAGACCATTAAGAAGAGAAGAATAGAAATAATAACGGAACAGTTAGTTATGAAAATAACTAACAGATAATAAAACCCAAAGTCAAKAAGTCTAAAAAGAACAGTTCCAGTCTTCCAAGTATCTGCATTTCAACAGACAGAAAATCCATTTCCACAGATTTCTTCTTGTGCATGAAAGATTCCTGTCTAATGAAACATTCAGCATCCCATTCAGAGATCTCTTTTGTTAATTCCATCCCACAACTTAGTGATCTTGGCATAGATAAAGAGAGATCTAGAAATTCATAYAGCAACAGAGGTCAGTGTAAATTCTATATTAGGCTTACACTCTTTTGCTATGGGTAGTATTAAAATGTGTTCTTTGAGGCAGAATGAAGAAYAGGATGCAAAATGGGCTTCGGGTTGGCTGCAGTCAAAAGTGATGGCCCACTGTCGTTTTTACACAGCTTGTTTCAGCCACCTTTTAGACAAAAATGAGTGCTGCCTGTGTAAGAATCAACTCACACCCCCAGGCACAACAGCATTACCTAGAAATATTCTGCAACAGTGAAATCAATCTAGAAAAAGCAGAACTCTGTTCAACCAAAATAATCTCTGAAAYCATAATTTTAATGTAAAACTTAGAACTTTTTTTTCTGAAAAATGATGCTTTTCAGGCTGTTTACAAAGTGTCACAATAAGGCATGACAGTTTTTCCAGCCTAAWAATCTCGGAAAGCAGTCRTGGAGCTTACATTCTTGTTAAAACKRAGAAGTCTSTAATWATTGACACAAGAATGCTTAAAAACCTCTGTGTGGTTACCCCAGTTAAAATGCTGAAGGGAAGTTTTAGGTTGGTTTCACAAAAAACACAACAGCTGATAAGAGTGTCATTTGTACATGAGATAAAGCACTAAGCATAACCTCTSTATCTCMAAGTGCAATTTTGCAGATATGCTTMATTTATTTTAAGGAAATTACCAAGAAAATTATAATGAATGCACAGTTAACACTTTAAATTACTGACASAATTAGATATTTAGATCAAAACTGTAAATATACTTCTGGGAAAACAGCCAACACTAAGAGGCTATGGTGTATGAGCAAAATAAAAATCCAAAGGCTAAAATTACCACTTAGAAATATTGCTCTCCATAATTTTTGCCCCAGTTTTACAAGACATTATCAGGTACACAAATACATAGAGGAATTCAGTGCATGAAGTCACAGAATCACAGGATTAGGTCGGACAACACGTCTGATATCAAGCCCAACCTACAACAGAACACCACTTTGCCATCAATAGAATTATTCCTTATACACAAGAAGTCAAAAGACTGTAATCCCTTACAATTCTATAATCTCTTAAACCCCTCATTATTTGACATTGGATGCTAATTTATATTATAACTGCATGAAGCAGAATTAAAACACCAGCTCATAGCTTTAGCGTACGAACTAATCGAAAAGGAGACCTCAGCCTACGACTATCTACGAAGAACTCTTAGCACCAGCATTTTTTGATCAGATAACTATAACGCAGTATTGGGGTGATCATGCAAATATTTTGGGMTCAGATAATGATAACGCATTTTTGGGGCTGGAGAGGACAAAAGGGAAGCGTTAGTGTTTTACCCAGACCCCGAAGAACACCGAGCAGGCAATCAGCCTGCAAGCCCGAGATGAGGAGCAGCTGAGGCGGCGCGGGCCCTCGGCGCTCTGAGGGCTCCGGCGCCGCCCCGCCCGTCCCGCCCGCCCGGAGCCCACCTGCAGTGCGGCCGCCGCCATCCGCCCCTCAGCCCATGGGCGAAGGGCTCCGATCCCGGCCGGAGCGGGCAGACAGCGGCCGAGGGAGCCGGGAGGAAGCGCGATAAGGAGCCGGCTAGGAAGCATGCGTGGCCGCGGAGCAGCCTGGGACCCGGGCCCGCCTCGTCTCCTCCCACCCGCGCCCGGTGCCGGCAGCGCGGCCTGGGTCTGAGGGGAAACGCTCCTGGCGTGGCAACTACAACATCAGCGTGCAGGGAAATCGGGATGAGAATTGACTGTTTGGGCACTAAAGACATGGTGAACCACTGACAGAGCACACAGCAGGAAAGCGTCTGCTGTCCTGAAATTAATGTTTATTTACTACAAAACAACGTGATAGAAAGCTTTTGGGAAACGTTTTTTATTAGACTTCTTGGGTAAGCATCTGAATAAAACACATTTTTACAGTTAAAACTTTCCATCTCTASCCGGGTCACTTCAGCAGTGATGCATCAACAAAATTGACTCGAACATTCATACATTTAAAAACAGCACTGTCAGGTCAGGCCTGAGGTGTCCATACAGCAGCGCACTATCATCTCCGCTGTTCTCTTTGCCTATATTAAATACACCACTGGTGTTATTATCGATATTACACTGGCACCTGACAGACTTCACTGGGAGTATACTGGCAAGTTATCTCTCTGGCTTCAGCTGTCATTGCTCTCTCATTCCAGAGCCTCCTCAGACACAGCTGGGACAGCTCCCACGAAGACATGGAATACAGCGCTTCATGTGCTGGGGGCTTCACTTCCCAGAAGCCGTAAGCAGAGATTCAATGTCCCGAATGACTTTAGAAGTTTTTTCCAAAGCCTCCAAGACAAAACCTTCACTGAGTTCTTCCGTTTCACTGGGGTTTTCTTTTTTTTTGCCAGTGATACCAGATGGGTTGGATTTTGCAACAGATGTCCTTTTCAGAATGTTGCTATTGTCTAATAAAACTAGTGTTAACTTTGTTAAGAAAAAATTTCAAACTCTTCCTCCTAAAGATAAAAATTAGTCCCTGCATTTGTATTCATCATTCTGTCTTGCAAAGTCTCAAATTTTGTGGCATGGTGATTACACATAGCTAAAAAAAAGAAAGAGTGTATTACTTAAAATGTCTGCAACATTTTAAGTTGTTGTCTTTTAGACTTCAATTTATCTAAAAGTTACTTTGAAAAGAAAACTCACGTTACACTGCGGTTTAACAGTATGCACTTTTCATCCTAATAGAATTGAACACTGGCTTAAAGACAATTATAGAATGGCTTTAAGCAGATTCAGCGCAGCGCACATTGAGCTGGCTGAACACAATGGAACAATTGCTACTAAGGTAGCTGATAAACAGAAAGATACTGTACCACAACAAGCCCAAAGGCAACTATGTTATTCCTCTTTCAAGAACAGATCAGTGGATGACTCTTAGCAAAACTGATGATATACACATTAAAGGGCCTTGTCTTCTGATGACTTTTCATTTTAATTTTGTATTTCAATACTGTTTTTGTTTGTTTTTTTAACTTTATGACAAGGTAAGTGATAGAACAAAAGTGCTAAGTATGAAAGAGGTAATTTTAAGAAGTAAGACAGCAAAATAAGGTAAGATCAGAATAGAGAGCCTTTGATAATCTAAAGTGCAGATCTGAACATGCAGATGAACAGCAGAATATAAAAGTGAAAAAAATCTCTACAGCTTTTAAAAGGATACAATTAAATCTCTGTATTTTTTCGAGCTCAGCATCAGCGGACCTGTCCAAGGAAATAAAGGTTATTAAATTATTTAGTATCATAAAAGGTTCTCAAAGTTATTTTCTACTTCAGATTTTAATTTTTAACAGTTTCCAGCAATACTGAAAATTAGATCAGCAAAATCCAAGTGAAAAAGCTTTATTTCTGCCTTTGATACCATTATTCAATGGCTGATGTTTGTCAATCATTTGTGTTTCCAAAAATCGGGTCTCTGCTCTAAGAATAGTCTCTTTGCTGGAAGTGTATATAAATAGAGAGAGAATTTTCATTTCATCAGCTATAAAATGTATCAGCTGAATCTGCTATGATTTTAGTAACAGGCGCAACTGTAATTTATTTCAGTTAGCACATTTTTAAAATCCCAGTATATTTGCAGATGATGTCAGTAGATTTTTGGTCAGTAGTATGTATGATAAAGGACAAATATGTCAACAAGAGATACAAATGTCATTAAGCAGTTCAAAGAACTGTTTTGGACTGCTTGATGGTCGGTTAAAAGGCACTTAGGCTGGTTTCTCTTTTTTTCCTTGCAAGATACTATMTTTGTAACTTTAATTGTTCTTTGACAAAGTCACTATAATTCTGCTTTTTAAAGAAGATAGGCTAAGCTCAGTGAAACAACCTTTACCTGAACCTGAAACATTCTGAACACTGAATGCAAAGTATGAAACCATACAAAAAATAAATGGATTTAAAAACAAATTTTCATTTTTGACCATTAGGAAATGCAAGCTATAAAATTCACAGTTTATAGTATTTTTGAGTTTTGCTTTCAACATTATAGATAATAAAATATTTAGGATAAASATGAATACCAATTTTCTTCAGTTACAGAGTGTGCGGTATATTCAGCAGTCTCTTTCCTGTCATTCAAATTTCTGCACCATTCTATTGCTGTTCTGATGTACCTATATTAATATGAAAATTTGAAAAAATGTTATTTATATGAGAAATATATTCTATCAATTCAAGCAAAAATTGGAAGTCATTTGGATGTGGAAAAAAAACGATGATTCAAAATCTAAATTTTTCTCTAGTTTGCCCTCCCAGTTTTTGAATCCCACTTTTCATCCAGAATCTTCATATTCAGACGTATACAGTTACAGAAAATTATAAAAAAGCTATATGATTTGTAAAGAATAGTGTACAAGTGCTAATTTTTGTTTGTGAATATCTGCTTGCTAAAATGCAGCACAGTAAACTTCTGACAATTCCCATAATGAGGCTGTAATTAGAGCAAGCAGATTAGAAAAAGCAGTGTGCAGGCAGAGGTCAATATCTGTAATAAAGCAAAAATTGGATAAAGTGCTGTTCAGTTCTATGTATCAGCACTATAAAGGACAAATGCTGCTGGGTTTCTTTTCAATCCACTGAAGTAAATGCCAAATTGCAGCTCTAGTTATTTTTCTAAAAAGACATTGCAGTAACATTTATAATGGAATCACAGCATGCAGTGCCCTTGAGTCACACAGGTCTTGAATCTTTGCCAGAAGCAAGATGCAGCTTTTATCATTACATGTTTGGTCCATCCCTATGAGTATATTGTCAGTMAATACTGTTTCTTCACGTAAGAGAATTTAGAGAGAAACATTTTATATTTAAATTGTTTAAATTGCATATACCTTTCATAGATTCCAGGATGACTTATTTGTATTAGCTGCTGTAGCCCATCAGGAGTAGTTAACTTACACCAGCCTACATCTTCATTTATCTTAGAAGAAAAAAAACAACCAAATATTAATTTTCTGCTGCAGTCCAAAAAAAAAAAAAAAGCAATTATAATATGCCAGTTAAGAATTAAATATCTATGAACAATCCAGTTTAAACACAAGTCTGTGGTTTGCTAAGGATAGAATCTGGTATAGTCTGCTATGACATATGCAGGGGAAAAACACCTGGCAAATCTCCAACTCTTGCTTTGTGCTGAAGAATAAATTATTTCCAAGTTTGGARAAATGTCTCCAAACCTGTAGAATTTTCAATTCTTTTTTGCTTTTGTATTTTATCAGCATCAGAACTTTTGTTTCATATCCTCATTAGTTTCCTAGTACCACTTTTTAATGGCAAGTTTTAGGAACAGTCCTTCTCTAAGTCACAAATTACCTGGATCTCACTACAAGAGCTGAAATCCCAAACCATAGTGAGGGTCATCCCATCCCAAAAAACAGCATGGATTTTATAATCTGAGTACACAATGAGTCTTCCTATGCGGGGAATAACCTTTTCATACAGCAAAACTGGCAACATTTCCCGTCCATCTGTCTCAGGTACCTAGAACCAAACAAATACATTAAAAACTTGAGGAAAGATTACTTACATAATTAAAACTGTTTGTATCTGTTCCAGATTTTTAATTAAATTGTTTTTCCAGATCACAAGCAACTCTCTTCATCATGCAATTACTTCTCAAGTATAATTTTTAAATGCATGCTTTTGTTTCCCAATTATCTACCTTCTGATCTGTAAGGACATTCTTCCCTCTAGATCAAGTCCTATTCCCTATAGCCTGCATAAGCAATCTTCCTTAAAACATTGCAAGATTTATAAATTTTCAGCTACATACCACTTTCCAGCAGCAGAGATAACAGTTATGACTTAATGATAGTTTTGTTTTGCAGCAATACCGAAGTATTCTGAGAAGGAAAAAAAATGAACAAAAATATGAAACCTTTCATTCCTACTATTTCTTCTAAGCATTGCAACCTTWATTTTGTAAGTTTACATATGTCCTCAGTGCTAATATAACTTCCTTTAATTTTTATACTTAATGTAACAGTGTTATATGTAATTTTAACTCCTGTCCTTTCTCAGTCAATGGAATTAATGTCACAAAGGTAAAGTTACCTAGTTGCCTGAGTAATAAGAGAGGATATAGAGTATGGATTTCCTGGCACATCAGGAGGCAGGCTGTTCACTGAATACATCTTTTCTTCCACCTGCAGGAAAGAGCAGAAAGAAGATGATTTAGTTACAGGTACCGTAGCATAAAAACAGCATTAAGAGCAAGTTATGAGATTTCTAACCTCTCAGAAACCAACTACAATCACATTTACATCTGCCACAGAACATAAATATCTCATTGAGAAGTGTGCATCCTTAAGTCTATGTCTGTGTGAAGAAATACTAAAATATTCAGTTTCCTCACACTCACTAAGAACCCGGAAGTTCTCTCATCACAGACATATTATAGTTCATTACTGAGTGACAGTGTTTGTCTCAAGTTAAAGGCTGGGCTCCAAGAGTACAAATCTGATCCTTAATTTTGCTCTGAAAATACAAGTGCTGCGTTAGCACTTGAGAAGACCTCATCTATGGGGGAACCTAACAGACAGCCACAGAGAGGCAAAATCCTTTCCTCCAGCACTGAACAAAACCTGCATATTCTTCCAGGTTCTGTTTCCATAGAGTAGAAAATGCTTCCAAGTACAGAGAGATTAAACTCTAAATCAATATACTAGCTTAAAGACTAAACTTCTAAATTAAAAAGGTTGTTACAGCATTTTAGAGTTTGATAAAAGAAATGTTACAATGAAGAAGATTTTTCATCTTAAATTTGTGTAAATTTTACAAAAATACATTCTGAAACAAAAGGGGTTATCTTTTTTGTATGACTAATGGCTTGCTTCAGGCATTATAGTAATTAGCAGTGTAGAGACTTCACTACACACTGCACAGCCAAATGTCTTAAGGAAGCTGTTAACTTGAAGGAATCTGGAACATTACTTTTAAGTAGTTTTAGCTTTTAAAAACAGTTTTATACCTTTTTTGTTCCTTTTTGGATTKCATAATGTACGAAGTATTTTCCCAAAAATGCTCCCTCTGACTTGAAAAATGAGTTATCACCAGGATAAATTTCTGTGATGTTTGTCCTACCATGGATAAATCTAAGAAAAATAACAAGATTTTTAGCAAGTATTTAAAATGCTGTGCAAAACAGGTTAGTACACCTGAAGAAAGCAATAAGCAGACACACACTTTCAGCAACTCACATGTGAAGAATTTCTACTGTTTCACAAACAACAGAATGTACCAGTAACATCTTTTAATGCAGAAGATTAGCATTACCAGGCAATTTCTTTGAACATGGGGGGGATTTAAATAAGCTAAAGAAAGCTTTTTTTGAGTTGAAGTAAACACGTCTCAAGAGCTGCTCATTCCACTGACAACAAAACATAGTGATCCTGAAAAGAAAAATCCAACTTTTTAAATGGACCAGCCCTACCTGGTGTACACAGAAAACTGCCACACTGAAAAATTCCTGAACAATCTGAAGGTCTTAATTTTCACTGCAGCTGTGTGTATTTCATGAAGATCAATATTTTAAACTTGTAATTATATGGTATCTTTGAACCTAAAACTCATTTAATAACCCAGATTTGCAATTYTGTGGTTAGATGCCTGGTCTCTGAAAGTAGAACTTTTAAGTATAAGAATGGCTACTCACCGTACTTCCAAAGAAATCAGAATTCTGAGAAAAAAGCTCTGAAGTGCTGCTGAACATTTTGTTTAGATAAGATGAAAATTTAGGAATTACACTGAGGAAAAATGAAGAATACTTGGCAGAAAGATTGAAGATTTAAACACCAGTGCTGCTTTAATCTAAGACTTTTAAATGCTAATAGCAGATGCAGCAATTTCAATTTGAAAGTTTGGGGTTTTTTGTTTTTCTTTTTTTTTGTATAGGGATTTTTGTGTGTGTGTGTG